AATGTTTATGAGAAACAGCCTCGTTCCTGACGCCCCATTCGCTCTCAATGGAACGACCATCTCCGAATTCAACAGCTATGTGTACCTAGGTCGAGAGGTCAACATGACAAATGACCTGACACCCGAGCTGCGCAGGAGGAAGAGAGCGGCTTGGAACGCCTTCAAGAACGTCGAAGAAATAGCTAAGAGGACGAAGAACCTCCGGCTCCGGGCACATCTCTTTGATTCCACTGTTCTTCCTGCATTAACATATGCCTCAGAGACCTGGGCCCTACCCGGGAGCAGACAAGATGAGAACGCCATTCAGGTCTCCCAAAGAAGAATAGAAAGAGCTATGCTTGGAATATCACGTTTCACTCAAATGAGAGAAAAAAATCCGGAGTTCTGACATCCGTCGACGATCAAGAATCAGGGACGCTGTCTCATTTGCCAAGGTGTCGAAAATCAGATGGGCTGGTCACGTAATGAGATTTAAAGACGACCGCTGGACTAGAGCTGTTACCGACTGGATTCCACGGGATGTCAAAAAACCGCGTGGCTGCCCACCTTCGTCAAGATCATGAACGATCGGTTTGAGGCCCTTCATGTTCCCGGAGCGAACAGATGCCATTGGGCTACACTAGCACGCGACAGGGACAAATGGAGACGTTACTGGCGCCCGCTCGAGCAAATTGACGACTAATGGGAAGTTAAGTGATTAAGTGTTAAGATCAGGAGCCAGAACAATAGCACAGTGGGTAGGATGTTAGCACTCCGGTCCTGAGCCCACCAGGAGAGTGATCTCTGAGCGCTGAGCCAGAAGTTAGCCCTGAGTCTTGCCGGATATGGCCCCAAAACACAAAAAGGAAACTTAGCTGAGGGGGCTGAAGCCGTAGTACGGCGGGTAGGGTGTTTGCCTGGCACACAGCTGACATGGGTTCGATCCCTGGTATCCCACATATATGAACCCCGAGCACTGCCAGGAGAAATTCCTGGGTGCAAAGGCAGGAGTGACCCCTGAGCATCACTGGGTGTGACCCAAAAAGCAGAAAAGAAAAGATAAGAAAAGAAAAGGAAAGAAAAGAAACTTAGCTGATTACGGTTGGAGCCAGGCTTCTAAAACAAGACTTCTCAAAGGCAAGTGAGAACCATGTTTCCATGGTGATTTACAGTGCTAGCTTACCACCTGTGTCTTCAGGATTCCGGGACTTCCCCCGTTGCCTTACCCCAAATCTCACACTGCTTGCTGCTGCTTCACGTCATCTTCACCACCAGTGTCCTGTTGGATCCAAAATCACGGAGGGAAATGCAAACGCTTAGGGTGGGGAATCACTGGCAGAGCATCAAGGCAGTGGGAGGAAGGGCTCCAAGCACCGTGCTGAAATGCCCGCTGCACGCCCCCCACCCCCTGAACCCCTGCCCCAGCGTAGCCCTGGTCCTCATCAACCCTCTATTTTGGGTTCATCTCCTCTAAGGGTACCGAGAGAGTCCACTGCTAAAGGTCCTCTCGTTCCGTAAATGACAGAGAGGTTCTTCTGCTTCCCACCGGTCCACTGCCCTTGGCATTGGCATTCAAGGAGACAGAATAAATCCCCAGGAATGTGATTCCCACTGTTGGTTGAGTTCCCCAAATCCCATCAGTCCTCTTTCCACCAAATTCATAATTGAAAAACGTTGAAAATGCAGATAAGCCAAAGAAAAATCAGCACAGCACTCCCCCCATGCAAACATCATTAGGGTCGTGTTTAAATACATTCTGTGCCGTGCATGTCTGTACACAGACCAACAGATGTGTGTACACATACCTGGAAATGGTTTTTAGCGAAATGTGCTGTTTGATGACTGTTCCCTCAAATACTGTCATTTTTTTCCCATGTCAGTTAACTTCTTCACCACAATTTTTAGTAGTACCATGTCCTTCCATCATACAGAGAAACAGATTTATTTCTTCATTATGAGATATTTTACTCAGGCACAATAACTACTTGAGGGGCTTCTGTCTTATCCAAACTTTACCTCTCCCTCGAGGGAGTATTTGAGTCATCACAGGCAGCGATCATGTGCCTGCATGCCTTCATTTGACCTTCCCACCATTCTTCACGGTCAATAACAAGATTGTGATTCTCCTCACTTTACAGATAGCACTGTATAGCACTGTCTTCCCATTGCTCATCGATTTGCTCGAGCGGGCACCAGTAACGTCTCCATTGTAAGACATGTTATTACTGCTTTTGGCATATCGAATACGCCACAGGGAGCTTGCCAGGCTCTGCTGTGTGGGCGGGATACTCTCGGTAAGCTTGCCAGGCTCTCTGGGAGAGATGGAGGAATCTAACCCGTGTCAGCCATGTGCAAGGCAAATGCCCTACCCTCTGTGCTATTGCTCCAGTGCAGTTTATAGATAAACTTGTAAAAAATTCAGAGAGGGGGAAAAATATTTATGATTCGTCCCGTCCTCTAGGTTCAGTTGATGTCTAGAGGTGTCTACAGCCAGAGAGACTTAGTACGGGTTTAAGGCACTTGCCTTGCATGGGGCTGACCCCTGGACATCCCATGTGATTCCCCACCCCAGCACTGCCAGGAGTGATCCCTGAGCACTGAGACAGGAAGAAGCCCTGAGCACTGCCAGGAGTGACATGGGCCCTCTCCCCCGCCCCCACCCTCACCCCCAAAAAATGTGGCCAACCAACCCTTCTCAGCTCACCACGCTGACGGCCAGAGAGGGAGGAAGGCCAGGCCAGGGAAGCAGCCCCTGACGTAGCTGCCGCTGGCGTCGGCCAGCCCTCTTCCTAACGCCACCTCCCAGCTTTCTTTTATGATCGCCCTCATTTGGAACCGCTTCCTATTTATGATATATCTCATTTTGAATGGCTTGTAAAAACAGTCGCTTGGCTTAGCAGCTACGGCGGAGTTTATGAGGTTGTTTGAAATACTATTACTGCTGACGGTAAACTCAATATTGCAGCATTACAAGAGATTTTTGAAACAAAAGATCATCCAAATCCCGTCCCATAATAAGTCGATTTATACAGGCGCTTGTCCCCTGCAGGCCTCCCCCAGGCACACAGTGAGCCCCCCACACCATTGCCGCAGAGCCCTGCTGCCCTCCTCTTTTTCTAGTTGCCCTGATGTAAGCACCATCCCCGTCATCCCTGTCATCCCCGTCCCTTCATTTCTCTGTCTAGTCTCCATCATTATCGTTTTTAATGGCAGCCGTTGAATTGATAAAGCAAACATACTAATGGGGTTCCCCCATGTTTGCCATTGAAGATGCTTCCAATGGCCCAATAATCTGCTCTTTAAGAGTTTTGACCAGGAGATGTGAGCTAAGTAGGGGTATTTCTTTTTGGCTTGGGGCCATACTCAGTGGTGCTCAAGGCTTACTCTTGGCTCAGTGCTCAGGAATCACGTCTGGAACTGCTCGGGGATCAGAGGTGGTTCTGGGCATTGAACCCGAGTCATCTGCATGCCAGGCAAGCGCTGTAAACACTGTGCTGCCTCTCAGGCCTCAGACTGCACGCTCCTCTCCAAGGCCACATTGAAGAGGGCTACTTGCCCGGTGCTTACATTTCCCCTGTGCCTGCCGTGGACACATTCCCAGGAGCAGGATTTGTAGGGTACGCACAACAGTGCTCACGTGCTCCTTCCCAGGCTCTTCCAAGCTTAAAACCAGTGCAAAATGTTGACCCATTTCAGGGCAACCAGATCAGTGTAGGGGATATTCAGAATGTGGGGGCTGCTGAGTTGCATATGTGAAGTGACCCTCAGGCTCTCTGGTTTATTCTTTTTCTTTTTTTGATTGAATCACTGTGAGACACATAGTTATCAAGTAGTTCGTGATTGAATTTCAGTCATACAATGTTCCAACACTGGTCCCTACACCAGTGTACATTTCCCACCCCCCACCTCCCACCTCTCTCTCTCTCTCTCTCTCTCTCTCTCTCTCTCTCTCTCTCTCTCTCTCTCCTCTCTCCCTCTCCCTCTCCCTCTCCCTCTCCCTCTCCCTCCCTCCCTCCCTCCTCTAATTTCTATTGTCTTTGGGCATTGTTCTCATAATTGTGTTTTTTCATATCCCCTAAATGAGTGTTTTCATTGTCTGTCCCTCTCCCCCTGATTCATCTCACTCAGCTTGATATGCTCCATAACTATCCATGGATAAAGCAAACTTAATGACTTCATTTCTTCCTAACGACTGCATAGTATTCCACTGTGTCTGTTTGACTGTGATGGGAAATGAGCATCCCTGTGCCCCCCACCCATGACTGATGACTCCCCCATGTGCTGGAAGGGTGGCTTCTGCTCCCACAAATAGCCTTTGCCTCCTTCAGTAAATGGGGTCCCCATTTTCTTTAAAAAAAATCACACTGTGTGGGGCTGGAGTGATAGTACAGCGGGGAGGGCGTTTGCCTTGCATGCGGCCAACCCAGGTTTGATTCCCAGCATCCCATATGGTTCCCTGAGCACCACCAGGAGTAATTCCTGAGTGTAGAGCCAGGAGTAACCCCTTTTGCATCGCTGGGTGTGACCCAAAAGGGAAAAAAAATCACACCGCATGAGATCTTTACACACAATAACTATTGGGATTTTTCTTCACTGTTTAGTATCATTTCCAATGTCAAGTTCACCTCTCCACTTTAGATCTCAGCCTATGATGTAAAAATGGGGTTTTCATGGGGCCGGAGCAATAGCACAGCGACTAGAGTGACTGACTTGCAGGCAACCAACCTGAGTTTGATCCTCAGCCTCCTTGATGATCCCCTGGGCACAGAGCCCTGAGCACTGCCAAGTGTGCAATGCCCCCCCCCCCAAAAAAACAAACCCTCCTGACTTTTGTCACCAAAGCTGTCCGTGTGATCTTCTTGGGTGTCGAGGCTCAGAGCCTTGGGTGTCCCCTCCCTCTGGAGCGCTCCTGCCCTCTCTTCCTTTTGGCTTCCCTCATGAGCTTGGAGGGCATGCGAGTGGCCGCTGGCCGTGTGTGTCCCTTCCTTCATCGTCCCCTCCCTCTTTCCCGCCCTCTGCAGGAATCATCCACCAGATGAAAGGCGACTACGACACGGCACTGAGGCTGCACAAGACCCACCTCTGCATCGCCCAGGAGCTGAGCGACTACGCAGCCCAGGGCCGGGCCTACGGCAACATGGGCAACGCCTACAACGCGCTGGGCATGTACGACCAGGCCGTCAAGTACCACCGGCAGGAGCTGCAGATCTCCATGGAGGTCAACGACCGCGCCTCCCAGGCCTCCACGCATGGCAACCTGGCCGTGGCCTACCAGGCCCTGGGCGCCCACGACCGGGCCCTGCAGCACTACCAGAACCACCTCAACATCGCTCGCGAGCTGCGTGACATCCAGAGCGAGGCCCGGGCCCTCAGCAACCTGGGCAACTTCCACTGCTCCCGGGGCGAGTACGTCCAGGCCGCCCCCTACTACGAGCAGTACCTGCGGCTGGCCCCCGACCTCCAGGACATGGAAGGAGAGGGCAAGGTCTGCCACAACCTCGGCTACGCCCACTACTGCCTGGGCAATTACCAGGAGGCCGTGAAGTACTACGAGCAGGACCTGGCCCTCGCCAAGGACCTGCACGACAAACTGAGCCAGGCCAAGGCCTACTGCAACCTGGGCCTGGCCTTCAAGGCCCTGCTGAACTTCAGCAAGGCCGAGGAGTGCCAGAAGTACCTGCTGTCCCTGGCCCAGTCCCTGAACAACTCCCAGGCGAGGTTCCGTGCCCTCGGTAACCTGGGCGACATATTCATCTGCAAGAAGGACGTGTGCGGCGCCATCAAGTTCTACGAGCAGCAGCTGGGCCTGGCCCACCACGTGAAGGACCGGCGGCTGGAGGCCGGGGCCTACGCCGCCCTGGGCACCGCCTACCGCATGCTCCAGAAGTACGACAAGGCCCTGGGCTACCACACGCAGGAGCTGGAGGTGTATCAGGAGCTGAGCGAGCTTCCGGGCGAGTGCCGGGCGCACGGGCACCTGGCCGCCGTCTACATGGCCCTGGGGAAGTACACAATGGCCTTCAAGTGCTATGAGGAGCAGCTGGAGCTGGGCCAGAAGCTCAAGGAGCCCGGCCTGGAGGCCCAGGTCTACGGCAACATGGGCATCACCAAGATGAACATGAACGTCATGGAGGAGGCCATCGGCTACTTTGAGCAGCAGCTGGCCACGCTGCAGCAACTCAGCGGCAGCGAGGCGGTGCTGGACCGGGGCCGCGCCTACGGCAACCTGGGGGACTGCTACGAGGCCCTGGGGGACTACGAGGAGGCCATCAAGTACTACGAGCAGTACCTGTCGGTCGCCCAGAGCCTGAACCGCATGCAAGACCAAGCCAAGGCGTACCGGGGTCTCGGGAATGGCCACAGGTGAGGCGGACAGAGGGGAGAAGGGCTGATGGGCCCGCTTGGGGAGGTGGGGGGGGGGGGGGCAGAGGCAGCTGGAGCTCTGCAGGGGGAGCTCGATGGCTCGATGTCCACACAGCTGCTTGCAAAACGTGTCTGTGATTGGAATGAGGCTGGGAATGTTAGCAGGTGAGTAAAAGGGAGGAGACAGGGCCAGAACCATAGCACAACGCATAGCACAATGCATAGCACAACGCATAGCATTTGCCTTGCATGCAGCTGATCCAGTTTCCATCCCAGGCATTCCATATGGTCCCCCTCCGAACACTGCCAGGAGTAACCCTTGAGCATAACCAGATGTGACCCCCCCCCCAAAGCAAAATAAATAAATAAAAGGGAAGAGATGGATATACCTGGGAGGTTGGGTCTGGGTCCAGGCAGATAGAACTTGAGTGGTATGAAAAGTCAGCCCAGGGCTGGAGCGATAGCACAGAGGGTAGGGCATTTGCCTTGTATGCGGCCAACCTGGTTTCGATTCCCAGCATCCCATATGGTCCCCCAAGCGCCACCAGGAGTAATTGCTGAGCGCAGAGCCAGGAGTAATCCCTGTGCATCACCGGGTGTGATCCAAAAAGGAAAGAAAGAAAGAAAGAAAGAAAGAATGAAAGAAAGAAAGAAAGAGAGAAAGAAAGAGAGAAAGAAAAAGAAAGAAAGAAAGAAAGAAAGAAAGAAAGAAAGAAAGAAAGAAAGAAAGAAAGAAAGGCCAACCCAGGGCTTCCTGCGTCCAAACGCAGGGCCTTTTTGATGCCTTCAGAATGAGCAGGCAAAGAGAGTGTGACCCCGTTTAACTTTCCCTAAGATTTCCTGGGTAACAGAAAGGAGTTCTGCCACGTGCTTTGCCTGTCTCTTCCTTGGGGGTCCCACTGTGCTGCCCCTAGGGAGAGTCTCCTAATGACTGCAGGATGGCATCATCATGAGCTGTCACACAGGCCAGGCAGTCCACGTCCCTGGCCAGACGGATCGTGCCATGTCCATGATAATGCTTGTACCATCCCCCGCTATGCGGCACGGAGCAGACTGTGGCCCAGAAATGAGAGCCAGTCAGAAGACACTCACGTGCCCTCCACACTGGCTTGGAGGCCGGCTCCCAACCCCAGCCAGGCTCTCTCAAGCCATGCCTCCACCCTGCCCAGAAACCCCACCGTAGGCCAAGAGGAGCCTTTTCTCTCTGGAGGTGGAGACCCCCGGGAAGGTCTCTCTTCCCAGAATATACGGCCTGTTCAGAGAGCCGGGGGATTAGGGCTTCTGGAGCGGAGGAAGGGGCAGGGGCCAGACTAAATCATCCCCTGCAGAGTACTTAGAGCAGCTTAGGGTCCAAGATTTATAGCCATTGTAAAGCGATTTCAAAAGCCCCGTCCGAGCGGTAGTGGACACCGGGGGCCCCGGAGAAGCGACTGGCCCGCTCAGCATCATCGCGCCTATGAATATATTTTATGTCCCCTCCGGGGGGGTGGGGGTCCCGGTGAGTCGCCAGCTCCCCGGGAAGGTCACCCAGGGATGACTCTCTGAATTGCTCTCCAGATTATGAAATTCCCCTGCATCTCACTCTCCCGGGCACGCGATAGATCTTAGCCAGGAGAGGAGTTAAGCGCTCCTATCGTAAGTGACAGTGACAAATGCGTCTCATTTTCTCGGGGGCTTTAGCATGTCCGCACCTGCACGAAATAATATCGTTGCCTCTCTGTCTGCCTTCCCCCCCTGCCCCCCTCTCCCAGGGCCATGGGGAGCTTGCAGCAAGCCCTCGTGTGCTTCGAGAAGCGGCTGGTGGTGGCCCACGAGCTCGGGGAGGCCTTTAACAAGGCGCAGGCCTACGGCGAGCTGGGCAGCCTGCACAGCCAACTGGGCAACTACGAGCAAGCCATCTCCTGCCTGGAGCGCCAGCTGCACCTCGCACGGGAGATGAAGGACCGGGCCCTGGAGAGCGACGCGGCCTGCGGCCTGGGGGGCGTCTACCAGCAGATGGGGGAGTACGACACGGCCCTGCAGTACCACCAGCTCGACCTGCAGATCGCCGAGGAGACCAACAACCCCACCTGCCAGGGCCGGGCCTACGGCAACCTGGGCCTGACCTACGAGTCGCTAGGCACCTTCGAGCGGGCTGTGGTGTACCAGGAGCAACACTTGAGCATCGCCGCGCAGATGAACGACCTGGCGGCCAAGACCGTGTCCTACAGCAGCCTGGGCCGCACCCACCACGCCCTGCAGAACTACTCGCAGGCCGTCATGTACCTACAGGAAGGTAAGGCTGAGGGCCCGTGGCTCTCCCAGTCGGCTGAGGTGGCATGTCCACAGGGCAGGCCGGAGGAAGTGGGCGGCATCAGCACCCGGCTCCCAGCTGCGGGGCCTCCAGGTGTCTCTCCGTAGAACTGAGGCCTTACTGGGCGTCTCCTGCTGGGATTGCTCTGCCCAGCCTGGGACCAGGACCCCTTGCTTTTCAGAGCCCTCCCCAGGGTGAACAGTTCCTTCCCACGCACATGGCACCCAGCCAGGCTCCTGGGGAAGGGCAGGGCCTGCGTCAGGGGCACCACCCATTGTCCCTCTAGAAAAGACCCACGTGGCTTTAATGTACAAAGGCCAGTCGGTGCTGATGGGGCCCCCACCAGGGCCCCCTTTCCCAGGACTTCCTCCCCACAGGGGCCAGTGTCTGTGCCACCCAGGTGTTGAGGCACAGCCAGGAAGTGGCAGCTTTTCCTTCTGCACAGGTAGGGTCCATGCAGAGCTGTCCTCGGATGCCTGCTTTGGAAGAGGGGTCTGGGAGATGCCCGGTGATCTCCTCCACCTCTGTGTGCAGGGTTGGGGCTTTCTGCACTAAAAAGGCCCCCTTCTGTGTCTCCCCTGTGCATGCACACACCCACTCACACACACACACACACACACACCTACCTCCCTCCCCATTTCATCTGCACACTGGGGCAAGGAGTGACTTGCTGGTTGCAAGCAAAAAGCTGTTGTCATTCCCAGGCTTCTTTGTGGAACTGGATTTAAGGATCATGAGACCCTGGAGGGTTTATCTTGCCGCTCCCGCTGGCGGCTAAACCACGCAAGGCTCAAAGGATTGAGGCTCACTCACCGGGGGACCAGTGGGTGAGAATGTGGGGCTCGGCTGTGGGGCTGTGGCCCCTAAACCTCTCCACACGGGGGGTTTGGAGGGAGGGGGTTCTAACCAATAGGGATGGGGCACTCAGCTCTCGGACTCAGACCTGGACACGGGAACGTAGAGCAGAGGGCAGCGTGGGTCAGGCGAGGTACGGGTGCTGATGGACCTCCAGGCTCCCAGGCTGGGGGTGAGGCTGGCAGATACTCTGCCTCAAGTGCTCAATCCTTGCATTGGCCCTGAGGTCTCCCTCCCTCCCTCGTGCTCCCATGTACCTGACGGGGGTGATTCGCAGCTGGGCTGCCCCCTTTCAGATGCCCGAGTTCTCCTCTGTTTCCCAAACAGCAGTTTGCCCCATGGTGATTCGGACCCTACCCGCATGGGAATCTTCACTTGGGGTTTGTCTTTTCTCTGGTCATGAGCCCGGCAGAGACCCACATTCTCGTGGGGGCCCCTCCATGGCGCCCATCCCCGGGTCTCCTCGCGGCCTGACTAGGTGCCTCTCCCTGACAGCTCCGGGCTGGCACAGCCGCCCTCCAAGTGCCCTTTGAACTAGCCCTTACCCTCTTCCCGGGAGGGGCACCCACCGGCCTGGAGTCTGTAGATGGCAGCTCCCAGCCCTACCACCACAATGTCTCACCCAGGGCCTGGTCTGAGCCTTTTGAATCGTCCCATCTTTCCATCGGGCGATTGGGTTTGACGCTCCGAGCTCCCAATCCTCAGTCCAGCTGTTAATTTTACAAATGACGGGAAGAAATTCAGAGCCACCAAGTGACTTGTCCAGACCCTGCCACTAGCCCTTGGGCACACCAGGCTCGGGGACGAGTAAATAAGAGACTTCAGAGTCCTCAGAGGCAGAAGCAGGCGAAACCCTGGAGGGGGCCGGATCGCAGCCTGTCTGTGGGCTTGTAGCACTTCGTCATTGAACCTCCATCCACCTCTGGCCCCAGGAGGGTCCCTTCTGCTGGGAATCAGGCCGAGTCCCCTGTCTGTTCTTCTTACCCTTCCATCCACAAATTTCACTTCCAGGCCCCAGACCCAGAGTCCGTGGGCAGTAGCTAGCTTTCCTGAAGGCTGCATGCTGCCAGCCCATGGAAGGTGCACGCAAACGTCTACCCTGAAACAGTGGCCCACAGGTTTGCCCCGTCGCCACCAATCATCTGTGTTCCTTCTCTGTGAGGTGTCTCAAGGGTGAAAAATATGCCCGCTGGACCTCAGAGACGGTGCAGCGGGCAGGGCGTTGGCTTTGTACAGGCAGACCCGCATTTGATCGCTGGCACCACATTGGGTCCCCTGAGATCCCCCCCCCCCCCCCCGCCAGGAGTGAGCTCTGAGCACCACGAGGAGTATTCGTGTTATCTGAGCAAAATCAAAAAAACAAAATACCAAAATCAAAGTATTAGTGGTATCTGAGCGGTCTGCTAACAGGATTGAACCTCCCAAGGCCATGTCTGAGTTCTGGGTTTTGTGCGTTTGGAGACTCAGAGCCTTTTGCAGGCTGGAAACGGAGAGCATCCATTCTTAGCCTCTCTTCCCGGACCCAGCCCATCCCAGGGCAGAGAGAGGCCTGCCCAGCCTCGGTTAGAGAGGGACAGAGGAGTCTTGTCTTTGCGTGCAGATTTGAGGCAGAGCCCAGGGTGATTCATGTTATCTCCTGTGTAATCGAAACCAGAAGATGCAGAGAAGGCTGGGAAGGACAAAGGTGCAGACAGTGATTGGCTGCCCTCCGCCTTGGCTCCCTCAAAGTCCCTGGAGGTGATCGCGGTCCTGAAATCCAGAATCTTGCGATGGGCAAATAACCACCACTGTAGGGCTACCTGAAGGCCCAGTCGGATGAGTGTGGCCTCATTGAAAGCTTCCAGGTCACACACTCACTGGCTCGGGGCGGGGGTGGGGAAGGCTTCAGAGGTACCTCAGCTGCATTAAAGCGAAGATCAGATCAGCTGGGCACGGCGACGGTAGGGGCACTCAGTCTGCAGTGTGAGAATTCTGCACGAGGCCAGAGATGCTGCCCTGTCAGCCTGTGTGTTAGCTCAGCTGCTGGGCTGAACGGTGAAACTGGCCTTCGAGGCATCTGCCAGCCCACAAACCAGGTTGGGTGTTAAGTTTACCCAGCAGGAGTTTTCATTCACAACATCACCTGCGGGGCTCACATCTGGGAGGGCGGCCAGGTAAGACGCCCTCAGCCGCCGCCGTGTCTGTGCCCGTTTCTGGCCCTGGACTGCACTCGTGGATGAGTGGATGGGAGCATCTAGGAGAGGTGGATGCCACGGTGGCCAGAGGCCGGCAGGGATGGAGCTTCCAACAGGCTGTGTCATTGACCTTCTCTGTGCAGACCCCAGGCCAGCTCCCGGCCAGCTCTCCTTGGCCAGGTGAACCGTCTGTCTTCTTAGTGTTTGGTAAAACGTCTCTGCCTCCTTCCAGGTTTGAGGTTAGCTGAGCAACTTGGCCGCAGAGAAGACGAAGCTAAAATCCGCCACGGACTCGGTCTGTCCCTCTGGGCCAGCGGCAACCTGGAGGAGGCCCAGCACCAGGTGAGAGGAAGCACCTGTGTCCCCAAAACCCTGGGGGGCAGCTATGTCAGGCACAAGCCCCGCCCACAGGTGGCTCTCCTGCTCCTCCCTCCTGCTGGGATTTCCAGGGCTGACACTTGCAGGAACCTATTGCCACAACAGCCTGGAAACGCCGGGGAGAAGGTGGCCGGCGATCACAACTGGGGCATCCTGGCCACAGTGGGGCTGTGTCCCCACCACTGTCCCGTGTCCAACCTACAGTGTGACATCCCCAGAAAGCCCACCCCAGTACCGCCCCCCTTCTCTAGCTCAGAGTCTCTCTGTCTCAGGGCCTCCAGCCTCAGCCACCCCCTCCTGCCCTGAGCACCCCATTCTCCTCACTCTCACTCCGGCCTCTCCATGCTCTGAGACATGAGGGTGCTGACCCAGGGTGGGGGGCCAGGCAGGGGGCAAGAGGAACTTTTTGTTCCCTGTTTGGTTCAAAATTGGTGCTGTGGTCACTGAAAGGCTGATTTATTTTTTGTGTTTTGTGTGTGTTTTGTGTGTGTGTGTGTGTGTGTGTGTGTGTGTTTTAAGAAAACGTCTTTTTGTTTTGTTTTGCTTTGCTTTTTGGGTCACACCCAGCATTGCACAGGGGTTACTCCTGGTTTATGCACTCAGGAATTATTCCTGGCGTTGCTCCAGGGACTGTATGGGATGCTGAAAATTGAACCTGAGTTGGCCGTGTGCAAGGCAAACACCCTACTCGCTATGCTATCACTCCAGCCCCAAGAAAACGTTTTAAAAATATTTTACAGCACAGCCTTTATAACCAGTGGTCCTGACCCAGATCTCCTTATCCATCCAGAAATGTTATCAGAGGGGGCACCCTGTATGGCCCTCTGAGCTTGCCAGGAGTAAACTCTGAGCACCACCAGCTGTGGCCCCAAGGAACAGCAAAAAATAATAATAATAATAATTTTTTAAAATTTAATACAAATAGAAATGTCAGCATTTGACTGGGCTTGATCTAATGCTTCTTCAGGGCCTCGGAACCTACCTGGAAATAAAGATTCAGCCTTTCAGATCTTAAGAGCAATTTTTTGTTTTGTTTTGTTTTTTCGTTTTGTTTGGGGTCCACACCTGGTGGTGCTCAGGGCTTACCCCAGGCTCTGCGCTCAGGGATTGCCCCTCACAGTGTTCAGTTCACGGGACCACGTGGGGGGTCGGGGATAGAACCCTGCTCGGCAAGACAAGCCCCCTCCCTGCTGTCCTATCACTCCAGCCCCTTAAGAGCAAATTTCAGGCTTTCCCGGGGATGTAAGCAGAGGTGCTGTGTAGTCGGGGATCACAGGATGTGGATCAGGGGAATGGACGGTGAGGGACGGTGGTTCGGGGGAGTAGGTAGCAGGGGACAGTAGTTTGGGGGACGTGGGTAACACTCTTTGACCTCTTGGCAGCTGTACCGGGCATCAGCCCTGTTTGAAACCATCCGCCACGAGGCGCAGCTAAGCACGGATTACAAACTCTCACTCTTCGACCTGCAGACGTCCTCCTACCAGGCCTTGCAGCGGGTGCTCGTCAGCTTGGGTAAGAGCCTCGGGGCTCAGAGGAGTCCCGAGGGCCCCAAGCACACAGGCTCACCTGAACTCACCCAAAACACCTGCAGCCGCCCCCTACCCAAGAGGGGATTCTGGTGCCTGCATCATCTCGGCACCGGCGTCATCTTCAGGGGGGCCCACGTTAGGGAAGGGACCTCTAGGCACTGTGAGCCGTCCACACGTGTCTCCATGTCCTCAGGGACAGGATTATTGTTTGAGCTGAGGTCCATTCCATACTCCTCTTACTCCTCCTGGCAAAGGATTTAAACCTCAGAACTCGCTAGTGCTTGAAAGCTGTTTCTGGGGCCGGTTAGCTACCCTGGGGTTAAAGCACAAGCCTGGCATGTGGCTGGTCCTGGCATGATGCCGAGCACCTGGTCCCCTGAGCACGCAGGACTCCTGCACTGACGCACTGGCCACTGGCTCTGAGAACTGCCCGGAGAGCCCCTGGGGGCCTCCTGAGCACAGCTTGGAAGACCCGTCCCCTAAAATAAAATGATTTTTCTCTCATTCTCTCACCCTCCCCCACATCAAGTATGGGGATTGAACCCTGGGTCTTGTACCGGCAAAGCCAGTTCTTTATCACAGAGCTACATCCTCAGCCCATTTTTCTTCCTGAATATTCCTCAGTGTTTCCATCCAATTTCTAATCCCTCTTGCTGGGGGACGCCCGTTATCTCGTTTAAAGCTGATGAATAAGAGCATAAAAAATAGAAAGCAACAGACTTTCTAGTGAGGATAAGGTGCAGATGCTATAGCAGCACAATGCAGGGGGCTCTGACGCTTGTCCTAACTCTATGGAAGAGCCGTGCAGAGCCAGACAGAACCCCGAGACGGGCATGGTGGCGGTGGCCTCCAGGGCGCACCAAGGGGCCTCACCAAGGGGGCCCCCGCTCCCAGGGCCTGAGTATCAGCAGCCAGCCGGGATTGATGGGCGCACACACAAATGCCTTCTTTTACTTTATTAAGTTATTAACTGGAACAGCAGGAATGATCTCTGTGCATGCTGGAAAATTAGCCCCAAAGTGCTAGACAGACTTAACACTGTGATGATAATAGATAATAAACTGTCATCCCAGGCAACGAGCACATTTTCCAGAGATACATTTTTCAAGGGGACTCTGGGAGTATTCATCCACAGACAGTGAAGGACGGGCCTCACCTCCGACTTCCAAAGACATTCAGACACGCCAGAGACGTTAGCCTTGATCCCCCATTCTGGGTGGGGGAAAGCAGTCTACAGAAGGGGACAGGTAGAGGCCGGGGAGCACAGAGTAGGTGGGATGCAAGCCGGCCCCACGAAACGGTCACTGGAAAAACTGTCGCTAACGGTGGGAGAAAGCAAACACTCTGCCAGAAGGGCGGGTGGGTCTTGGCCGTGGCACACGGGAAATCCTAGCATGAACAGAATCAACTGTGAATCATGGTGCTGCAGAAAACATTGGCTAGACAGAACTTTAAAAGGCTTGTGGCACGGCTGGGTAGCTGTCTCCGAGGGCTGAGCAGTCGGCTGTGCCTGCAGGAGGCCCAAGTTCCACATCCCCACTGTGTCGCCCTGGGGTGAGCACTGCTTCAGGTGACACAGAACCAGGAGTAGCCCCCAGCCCTGCCGCATTCAGATCCTCTCCCCCCACCACCAGCAGGAGAAGCAGAAACGCCACATGGCAGAGAAAATAGGGCAGAGGCCGGGAAGAAAGAGTGAGGAACATGGAAGGAGGGCAGCTGCTCAGGCCAGAACCCCTTCCCTGGCTCTGGGGCACAGGCCTGCCCACCCCGATGCTCTTCCTCCCTCCAAGAGCCCACCCCACTACACCAGCCCCTGCACGGGCTCGGGGCTCCCTGGGGCTTTCTGGATTTGAAACTATGACCTGGCAAGCGCCCTTAGTGGGGGCAGTAGGAACATATGTTCAGTAGAGGAAAGCATGTTTCAGTGGCCAGGCCACAATGTGGCTTCTGCGTCAGTCTCACCACACCCGTGACCAAACCCCGGGGTCTCACACTGTCCTGCCTCTGAGTCCCCTGAAGAGCCATACAGACACATTCTCCCCTTTCCAGGCAGGGGGCCGGTTGATGACAAGTGCAGGGTCTCGGGTCCTCCACGAGGAGACGCCAGCAGACTGGGGAGCAGCTGGGAATAGGGCGTGGAGCGGGGAGATTGGGCAGGGCTGCTGGACAGGCAGAGGGAGGTCTGGTTGAGGGCTGAGGACTGTGCTATATGTAGCGTGGGACCCAGAAGCATACACCAGGCACCCATCGCGGGAGTCGGAGGCTAGTTGACGTTGGCTGGGGGGCTGGGGGAGGGTCTGAGGCCACAGCACAGTTCCCCACGCACCTCTCAGCCCCTCCCTTCATCTCCCAGGCCATCACGACGAAGCCCTGGCAGTGGCCGAGAGAGGACGGACGAGGGCCTTCGCAGACCTGCTGGTGGAAAGGCAGATGGGGCAGCAGGACTCTGACCCATACTCGCCCGTGACCGTCGATCAGATCCTGGAGGTGGTGAATGGGCAGCGCGGCCTGGTGCTGTACTACTCCCTGGCTGCCGGCTACCTGTACAGCTGGCTGCTGGCCCCGGGAGCAGGTGAGTGCACTCTCGAGGTCACGGACTGGGTGAGACAGGGACGGGAGGTGAAGTGAAGCAGCCAAGGGCATCTCTCTGCAGCCGCACCTCAGCCTTCGTTGAGGCGGTTCCAGGCGGGCCAGAGTGGGAGCTGCCTGGGATGTCTGGAACAGCCTGGATTTCTCCCGCCCTCTAGATATCACTGTTCCCAGCGGGAAGACGTCCTCACTGCTGGCCTCAGTTCACCAGAGGCCCTAATTTTAGGCAGCTGTTGTTCATTAGCCAGTAAGGTGACAGCTGCAAGTCCTGACGAGTTCGTTCCTGCTGGATGTGACTTAACCCCGCCACCCTGCGTCAGGCTAAAGTTAGACTAAAATGATCTGATTGTGGCCACTCCATCACTGTCTATAAATAAGATCTGGAGCCTAATATGTCCATGTTGACGAGGACCCCATCTTTAACTTCAGAAGTTTAAAAAAAAAAGTTTTTTCCCCCTTTGATTAAATCAGCACTAAATGTTCAGGCTGTAACCGTTTCACTAAATACAGAAGCTCTAATTAGCTGTGAAGCCCATATTTTTTTTCCATAATAAAATGCTGATGGCTTTACTGCATTGGAGACACACCAGATCCAATTAGAGGTTATTGACTAGAGAAGTGAATCTTATAATTGGGAGTGTTCAAGAATATCTGTAAGCTCAAACTGCCACTGACAAGGGACAAAATCCTTCTTCTGTTTCTGACCCTTTGATTTCAATAAAGGGATGGCTGCTTTCTGGAATTCTAAGCTCTCACACCTAAACATTCGGGGCCTCGGCCTGATTTTATCTATTTTCCTCCTGTCATCCCGTGCTTTTTTATATGGTCTGCTCCACAGAGAGCAACCTCCACGCATGAAGATGCTGTAAGCCGTGGTGCTCTTGGGGACTCACTGAATTTGCAGCCCCAGCAAAAACGCCTGTGTGTCTTCATTCCCAGGGGGTCCCCGTGCCCAAGAGGAGTCGGAGAATGACGGGGGCCTCACACTGCACCCCACTTGCTGGTTGTTAGGTTGCAAGGGGATGTGATTTGACAGGCGGCAGTTTCAGATCCTCTGTCATAATGAGCCATGTATAATGAGGGCCGTTTGTGGCCCGCACCCTCTCTTAATGAGACTCCGAAGCCATGCACACCTCATTACCATTGGCCAATAGGCCAGAAAGACCCTCTGGCTTGTCTGTCTCCTCCAGCCCTTTTATTTTATTTATTTATTTATTTATTTATTTATTTGGGCTGGAGTGATAGCATGGCAGTAGGGTGTTTGCCTTCTGCGCGACCAGCCTGCCGAGCCAGGTTCGATTCCTCCACGATTCCTCTGCCCCTCTCTGTAGAGCCCGGCAAGCTACCGAGAGTATCTCGCCCGCATGGCAAAGCCTGGCAAGCTACCCATGATGTATTTAATATGCCAAACACAGTAACAACAAAGTCTCCAATGGAGACGTTACTGGGCCCACTCGAGCAAATCAATGAACAATGGAAGGACAGTACTATTTATTTATATTACTCTTCTTTCCTTTCATCTCTCCTGGTCTCTCTTGACAGACCAGGTAGTCGAGCGTTGTGTTTTTTTTGGGGGGGAGGGAGGGGGGAATATTATGGCTCACACCTGGTGAGGTTCAGTGGTTATTCCTGGCTCTGCACTCAGGGATCCCTCCTGGAGGGACTCAAGGAACGTGGGTTGGCCATTGCTAGGCTAACGGCCTACCCATCATACTATTGCTCCTGCAGCCCATAGTTTTATTTATTTAAAAATAAAAATAATAAGAATAATAATGTAAGGGTTTTCAGGATAGTATAGAGTAAGATAGCACAGTGGGTAGGGCACTTGCTTTGCACCCAGCCAACCCAGGTTTGATCCCTGGCATTTCATAGGCTCCTTCCCACCCCCCAAGGCACTGCGAGGGGTAATCCCTGAACAGCCAGGTATGATCCAAAAAACGAACCCAAAAAAGAGTTTCCAATGTTTTCATGTGTCATCTAAAAGTAGAGGCTGGCTTGTGTTTGCCTCGGGGGAAGAAAAGGCCTTGGGGCCTCAGCATTTCCATTCAGTGGGCTGCACTTGGGCCTTGCCTGTGGGTTTTTGGGGAGCAGGTGTCTGGCAGGGGGTCCTTTCCTGAGAGGCCATCTCCCCAGGCCGGGTCTCCTGGCAAACGTGTGTTCTGAGCTTTTGAGCTCTCTGCCAAGCAGCCCAGGCTCTGGGCACAGGCAATTGAGCCTATCATATCACAGAACAAAAACCCCAACAGTCAAAGTGGCCCCATGGGGCTGAGCAAACACGACAAACTCCTGGGACCCTTGGTTCTCAGGGTCCTCTCACCTGGTGCCCACATGCCTCCGCTTGCTGGAGACGCCTTAGATCATCAGCCTTCCTCACCCCTGGGTGTCCCCTCAAGGCCACTTCTCCTTCCCTCAGCCCTGAGTGGGTGTCATGTGGGCTGTGTGCATCTCGTTCCAGGGATCCTGAAGTTTCATGAGTACTACCTGGGCGACAACACAGCGGAAATCTCCGGTGACGTCCAGGCGGGCAGCAGCGCCACCCTTCCATCGACCACCAGCTCAGCCCTGGAACAACTCATCACCAATGTGCGGGAGGCCCTGGGGGTGGAGTCCTACTACTCCAGGCAAGTGGCAGCCGGGCTCTGTTCTCAGCTCGGGGCTCGGGTCTGGTTCCTTCTCTTGCCAGGGTCCGCTTCGTGGGAGGAGTCTTTGGGAACACGCCTTTCCGCGCACCTGCTCTGTTCATACTTCGTCCTACAAACACAAGATGCTTCCTCATGCTCCCCTTTGTCCTCCTGAGTCACTGCCCGGCCGGCAGGAAGAGTTTCTGCCAAGCCACCCATTTCTGAAGGCATGCTTTTAGAATGTTTAGACAGAAGTATGACTTGAACTTGCTTCTTAAAACGCAGTTTTTATCATTGTCATTGTTGAAAAGGGATCAGCTCAGTGTGCTAGCCGAGAGAATAATTGAGCACCAGTGACAAGATCTATGCCTGTATCTGTGCTTTGAGGGGGGCTGGGAAGAGGCAAGTTGGACTCCTAGTATCAAGAAGACAGAAGTGGTTTTTGCAACAGTTGTGAAAGTTACATGCCGACAGACCCAGTTTAGCAAGAGACACTGTTTTACATGTGGATAAGGATTCCTAACTTCAGGAAGAAGTCTAAACCAGGAGGGTGCCATAGAGATGGGATGCCACCAGATTTACTGGGAAGGTAGTTGTGGAGAGTCTCTCTCTCTCCCCAGTAGATGATCAGAGTTGAGAAATCCTGGGGGAGGAGGCAGAGAAACAGTACCAGGGTTAAGATAAGGCCCTTGTGGCTGGAGTGATAGCACAGTGGGTAGGGTGTTTGCTTTGCACGTGGCCAACCCATGTTCGATTCCCAGCATCCCATATGGTCCCCCAAGCACTGTCAGGAGTAATTCCTGAGTGCAGAGCCAGGAGTAACCCCTGACAATCACGGGTGAGACCCAAAAAAGCAATAGTAATAGTAATAAGATAAGGCCCTTGCCTCATGTGCAGCTGACCCTGGCTTGTTGCCCAACGCCGCACATGGCCCCCTAGTCCCCTGAACATCATCAGGCATGGCCGCCAAATAAGAGCAAAGAGAAGGTCTGTGTGTCAGAGTCTGCAGTGCAAGCTGATGTCAGGACCTGGGGCACCTGCTCATGTCTCAACTGATGTCAGCAGCTGTCATGCAGACCCCAAGATGCTGCTGGCCTGTGGAAATGCCCGGCTACCAGGGTGCATTAGGCACTGCCAGCAACTGGGTTGGTATTTAGGGGGATGGAGTTCTCAGATGGAAACAAACCATTGAAGAAGGGAAGGTGAAACCCGGCTTTGGGGCACAGTCATCCCCTCCAGCGCCCACATCTGATGGAAACCCTGAAGTCAGCCTTCCTAATAGCCTGAGCCAGAATCGGTGTAGGGATTCCAAGAGCCGAGACCACACCCAGACACCAGGCCAGCACTGGTTCTGGTTGCAGTGATTGAAATTAATGACAGAGGGCCCTCCAGACAGGGGCAGGTACCGTCCCTCTGCCTAACCCCAGGAACCCCAATTCCTGTCATCTTCTAGAACTCAGCGAAAAGCTCCAGGTACAGGTGGCAGTGGCGGGAAACACCAGCCTCACGGGGCAGGGGTGGAGTCAGCCCTTCTCCTTCCTCCCACCCTGATGGGACTCTGAGATGACACATGTGGCCACTGTCTACTTAAGTTCCCACACAGCCATGATCCAGAGATGCACAAACAAATCTCGGACCCGAGCAACTTGCTGCAGCAATCTCTCCATACCCTAATTATTAAAATTTTAGAATCCCTAGAGCGCTGGCCACTCTTCCTGTTGCTCTTGCGACTGTGTGACGTTACATTGCATCCATAACAAGCAATACAAAACACATTGTCTGGCATTGCCTTTTCAGCAGGTATGAGCGGTGGTGGGGTCTGGTCTCAAACTGTCAAAGGTAACCAAAGAAGAGAAAGAGAGTACTGTGCAAATTCTCTGCCACACAGGCAGGGGTTGGTGTGGAATGGGAGGGGGGTGGGAATGAATACTGTCCTTCTCCTGTCTGAATATTTTGCGGGGAGGTGGGCTGGAGTAGCTCCCAAGCAAGACTCAGGAGACTTGGGGGCCCTTTCCGGTGGTACTTAGCCAACTGGACCCCACAAATCAATGCGAGGGCCCCAAGGATGCAGTGCTGTTTGAGCCCCGGGTGCCAGTGCTCAGGGGCCTCCAGGGATGCACCCAGCAGTGCCCAGGGAGACCATGTGGTGCCAGGAGTGGAAGTCGGCTCAGCCGCCTTCAAAGCTGTGCCTTCACCCCTGGGAAAGGGGTCCCAGCCCCCCTCGTGAATTCCTCCTGTCACAGTGTGACTGAGGAGAGGCCCAAGTTTAGTCCCCGACGATCAGGTCCTGCTCAGGCCGAGCCCATTGATTCCATCTCTCTCTGCTGGACATGTAAGACCCTGCACCCCAAGAAATGGAGGGTTCGGGCTTTGGGGAGCGCCTTCGTTCAGTCCCCCTGCTACTGGGCTATGCCAGTCTCCTTTCCCTGCAGACCGTCCATCCCCCTCTCCCTATGGACAGCTGGCCACAGGGAGGAAATGCGGTGCTAAGAAGCAGTTTCCAAAAATGGGTTTGAAAGGAAAGAGCTGCTTTTATTAAGTGTTTAATAAGAACTGCCTGTCCCTGCCTCCCAGATCAAAAGAGGCGTTGATTGAAACCACCTCGGAGAGCAGGGGCCTCCCATAAGGGGGCCATTAGCAGTCTCAGACATGTCTTCTGTTGGCAATTCTGACAGTCTGCAGAGTCCCCCTGCTGCCTGGGCACCTGAGACCAAGCCGTGGCACTTTGGGAACCAGTGAGGCTGTCTTCAATAGCAGGCCAAGTCTGGAAGTGGTTTTAGATACATTGTTGTTGTAGATTGCCCATATAATAGGGCAAATGTCTGTCATAAATGAATATTAAGTATTAATCAATCACAGCTGTTTGAGGCTTATTTTCTTTGGGGGATTTTCTATATTACTAAATGTTTTTACAGTGAAAGTTGTATTTTATCATCAAATGCGTTTTCTTTTCTCAAAAAATGTGATTTGTTTAGATCACCCCAATTCATAAATGCTGACGTATCAGTTGGTTCAAGACTCTCTGGAATGGGGCTGGAGCAATAGCACAGCGGGTAGGACGTTTGCCTTGCACACGGCGGACCTGGGTTCGATTTCCAGCATCCTATATGGTCCCCCGAGCACCGCCAGGAATAATTCCTGAGTGTAGAGCCAGGAGTAACCCCTGAGCATCGCTGGGTGTGACCCAAAAAGCAAAAAAAAAAAAAAACTGTCTGGGAGTGAGTGGGCTGGACTGGGCAAAGAAAGCAGAGCAGAAGGGAATGCACCGCCAAGACAATAGAAGAGGATATTGCAGGCTGGAGGCAGCTCCGAACTAGGGCCACAAGCTGCAAGAACCTGTTCCTGAAACCATGGGTCAGAGGATCAGTGGGAGTTGGCTTCCTGAGTGGTGGCCACTAGCGCACTGCTAGTTAATCTCCCTCACCATATCCCATAAGAACCCCAAATCAGCCCCTTATATGGAGGATAGGGCAGCCTGACCACCCCAAACACATTAGGCCAATAGTCCATTAAGCCCCTGCTCCAATTAACATTACACCTAAACCACAAAAGCAATGATGAGTACAAGATTCCAAACTGCGAAGGTCACAATAGTCAAGCAATATAGAAACTCACCAGGTTTAGTGGGTGAAGACTCTAGCCCAGGTGACCCAGCCAGTAATAATGAGTTATAAAACCTCTCAGATGAGGAATTTGGAATGGAGTGTTAAGGATGCATAACGGAGCTCAAAGAAACAATGGAATGAATGCACTGTCAATGAAATACAAGAGGATATGAGGGGGGCTGGAGTGATAGCACAGCGGGTGGGGCGTTTGCCTTGCAAGCGACCGAGCCGGGTTCGATTCCCAGCATCCCATATGGTCCCCCGAGCACCGCCAGAGGTAATTCCTGAGTGCAGAGCCAGGAGTAACCCCTGTGCATCGCCGGGTGTGACCCAAAAACAAAAAATAAAAAGGATATGGAGGCATAAATGAGGAAAATACAAAGTAAAATACAAACAGAAATAACAGACCTGAAAAGTCTGGTAGGTGAAATGAAAAATTCACTGAAAGGTCTCAGCAGCCGAGGAACAGCTGCTGAGGACAGAATCAGTGAGCGCCAAGATGAGGTGCAGAGAATCTCCAGATAACAGCAGAAGATGGAAAAACATCTCCACATAAACAAACAGATGGCAAGAGAACATTTGGATGAATTTAAGAGCAATATGAAAATCAGTGGGGTACAAAAGGGACAGGAAGAAAACCCCAAGGAAGAAGCAACTGTCAAAGTCATCATTGCTGAAAAATTCCCAGAGCTGAGGAGTGCATGCATCCAGATCCAGGAGGCCCAAAGGATGCCAGCTAAAATAATCCAAAGCCAAACACTCCAAAAACCCATCCTAATCAGATTGATGAACAGCATAGATAGAGACATAATACTGGAAGAAGCAAGATCAAAAAAGTAAACTGCTTATAAAGGAGCATCCTTAAGATTTACAGCAGACTTATCTGATGAAACCCTCCGGGCCCAAAGACAGTGGTGGGATATAGTGAAAAAACTCAAAGAAATGAACACCTCACCAAGAATACTTTATCCAGCTAGATTCTCATACTTGAAGGAACAATACACAGCTTCACAAACAACTCAGGAACTTCATAGACTCAAAACTATGGTTACAGGAAAAACTAAATGAGCTAATTTAAGACAAGCTCCTCAAACACACCAAAATCCTGCAGAAAGATGGGACAAAATCCCATAACAATAATCTTCTGGATGTCAGTGGACTAAATGCACCAATTAAGAGACACAGAGTGTCAGGATGGATCAGAAAATTAAACTCAGCCCTCTGATGCCTTCAAGAAACACATTTGAATAGTCAGAGTAAACAGACACTCACAGTCAAAGACTGGGAAATCATTCTACAAGCAAATAACTCCCTCAAAAATTTTGGAGTGGCCATACTAGTATCAGACCACATAGACCTCTGACCGAAGAAGGTTACAGTGAAGGTCATTTCTTA